AGAGTGGGACCATCCAGATTACAACTCCTCAGATCCATAAGGGACACACTCAGGAGGCAGACTCAGTGAGCACCAAAGCCCCACTGAAGCAAGTCTTGCCCCAGAAGGGTGTCTCCAGCACAGAAGTTCTCCCATCGCAGATACAGCTGATTCTCACAGTCAGTTGGCCTGGAGGTCAATACCTCCCAGTGATACCAACAACAATCAAAGCTTAACTACAACAATACTGTGCACAAAGCCTACAAAGGGGTGCACCAAGAGTGTCCACCTCAGGTAATTGGGGATGCTGAGCCACTGGGCCCTATAGGACACCTAGCACAGAAAACCACTCTATCAACACGGAAGCAGCCAAAATGCGGAGACAAAGAAACAGGTCACAAATGACAGAAATGGAGGAAAGCAAACTACTGGATATAGAGTTCAAAACCACACTTTTAAGGTTTTTCAAGAATTTTCTAGAAACCGCCGATAAATTTAGTGAGACCCTCGAGGTTATGAAAAAGGACCAACTAGAAATTAAGTATACACTGACTGAAATAAAGGATATTATATAGAGATCCAACAGCAGACTAGAGGATCACAAGAATCAAGTCAAAGATTTGAAATACGAAGAAGCAAAAAACACCCAACCGGAAAAACAAAAAGAAAAAAGAACCCAAAAATATGAAGATAGTGTAAGGAGCCTCTGGGACAACTTCAAGCCTACCAACATCCGCATTATAGGGGTGCCAGAAGAAGAGAGAGAGCAAGATATTGAAAACCTATTTGAAGAAATAATGACAGAAAACTTCCCCTACCTAGTGAAAGAAATAGACGTTACAAGTCCAGGAAGCACAGAGAACCCCAAACAAGGAATCCAAAGAGGACCACACCAAGACACATCATAATTAAAATGCCAAGAGCAGAAGACAGAGAGAATCTGAAAAGCAGCAAGAGAAAAACAGTTAGTTACCTACAAGGGAGTACCCATACGACTGTCAGCTGATTTCTCAACAGAAACTATACAAGCCAGAAGGGAGTGGCAAGAAATATACAAAGTGATGAATAGCAAGAACCTACAACCAAGATAACTTTACCCAGCAAAGCTATCATTCAGAATTGAAGGTCAGATAAAGAACTTCACAGATAAGAAAAAGCTAAAGGAGTTCATCACCACCAAACCAGAATTATATGAAATGCTGAAAGGTATCCTTTAAGAAGAGGAAGAAGAAGAAAAAGGTAAAGATTAAAATTATGAACAACAAATACATATCTATCAACAAGTTAGTCTAAAAATCAAGTGAATAAATAATCTGATGAACAGAATAAACTGGTGAATATAATAGAATCAGGGGCATAGAAAGGGAGTGGACTGACAATTCTAGGGGGGGAAGGGGTGTGGGAGGTGCGGGAAGAGACTGGACAAAAATTGTACACCTATGGATGAGGACAGTGGGGCGGGGGGTAAGGGCAGAGGGTGGGGTGGGAACCGGGTGGAGGGGAGCTATGAGGGGATAAAGAGGAACAACTGTAATAATCTGAACAATAAAGATTTTTTTTTTTTTAAAAAAGGACAAATACTATGATTCCATTCCTATCAGGTACCTAAAATACTCAGATTCATAAAGACAGAAAGTGTAATGGTGGCGCCAGGAGTTGGAGGGAGGAGGCAGATAGGAAGTTAATAGTACAGAATTTCTGTTTGGGAAGTTTGAGAAAAGTTCTGGAGAGATAGTGGTGGTGATGTACAACGTGAATGTACTTAATGCCATCAAACTGTACATTTAAAACTAGTTAAAACAGTAAACGTTATGCTATAAATGTTTTGCCACAATAAAAATAAAAAGGTCGGGCAGGCCTGGGTGCTCAGCCATGGTGCGCCCTGCGGCAGGGACTGAATGGAGCTCTAAGCCCTTGAGTGCTGGGGGCAGAGTGTCTGGAGGGCCAGACAGGGCAGCGCTCTCCTAGGCACCCGTGGTGATTTCCTTCTCTCTCTCTTTGTTTCATTCCATGCTTTGATTGGAGCACTTGAAAGTGAGTGTACAAAGTGTGGATCTTTGAGGTGAAACATCCCATTTGTGAAATTTAAACTGATTTGTTGATCAAAGCACATTTTTAATAATTTATTAGTGTTTCTAACTTAAAAGTTATGTAGGCTTGCTGTAACTTTAATTCCAATTGCAGTCGCTCTTCTGGCTTAGTCGTGATTCCCAGCAGGCGGCAGGTTTGCCCTTCAGGGGACATTTGGCAGATTTGAGACATTTTTGGTTGTCATAACTGGGGAAGGAGGAATGTTGCTATTGGCATTTAGTGGGTAGAAGCCAGGGATGCTGCTAAACATCCTAGAATGTATAAAGCAGCCAATACAATAAACAAATACACAAAATAAAAAGTGAACGTTCACCAATCCCCCTGTCTCGGCCTCAGCCCTCTTACCCACCAGTAACCACAGGGACTGTTATGCAGCTTGCTTTTTTCAGCCTAACAGTTTGTCATTTTAACAGGAACAGACTTTTCTCTTTATTTGGCATTAAACATTTAACTGTCTTCTAGCATATGAAAGATCAAAATTCAGTTTCTTTTAGGCTTGCTGAGCAATAATCTTCTAAAATAAATATATATCTGTGTTATGTATCGTCCATAGTAGTGTTTATTTAGTGGTTTTAAATGTTTTTCTTCAAAACTTTTACAAATTCAAATTTTATAGTGCATAATTATCTTTTTCCAATAAAATTATTTTCCCTTGAACAAACAAAATACAACACTGAAATGTTTTAAAGGGTTAGAAACATCCACCTACCTCCCTAACAAATTGATTGTTTCCATTTGTTTCATATTCAGTTTTAGTTGTTAATCTTATGAATGCTGCTTTTATGCAGCTGTAAATAGTGTGTAAGAACACACAGCTGGCATTGAAGTGAGAGTGCCACAAGAGGGTCGTTCCTCTAAAAGTTTAAAGTCCTGTCCCTTTAGCACCTAGATAATCAGAAAGCTACATTCTCACACTCCTCCCACCTTAGCTTTGATTCCCATAGAAATGCCTTTACTGAGCTATGTTTTGATAGTATTCCTTTGCTTTATTTAATGGAAAATAATCAGCCATATTAAGAATATTTCTAGCCGAAACCGGTTTGGCTCAGTGGATAGAGCGTCAGCCTGCGGACTGAAAGGTCCCAGGTTCGATTCCGGTCAAGGGCATGTACCTGGGTTGCGGGCACATCCCCAGCAGGAGATGTGCAGGAGGCAGCTGATCGATGTTTCTCTCTCATCGATGTTTCTAACTCTCTCTCTCTCTCTCTCTCCCTTCCTCTCTGTAAAAAATCAATAAAATATATTTTAAAAAAAAAAAAAAAAAAAAAAAAAAAAAAAAAAGAATATTTCTATAACCTCTATACAGTTGCTGATACAGTCAGTAAAGATTGTGATCATGTCATCATTTTAGAACCTAGTGCTGGGAAAAAATTATCTTTCTCATCATTGATGTTTCTATCTCTCTCCCTCTCCCTTCCTCTCTGAAATCAATAAAAATATATATTAAAAATTTTTTTAAATCAACAAATAAATGCTGAGGAGAATGTGGAGAAAAGCAAACTCTTGTGCAGCCACTGTGGTTAACTGTGGAAGTCCCTCAAAATACTAAAATTAGAGCTGCTATACCACCCAGCAATTACACTTCTGGATATATATATATATATATATATATATATATATATATATACAAAGAAAACAAAAACACTAATTCAAAGAAAAGATATACACAGCGCTGTGTTCATTGCAGTACTATTTATAACTAGAGGCCCAGTGCATGAAATTCGTGCACAGGGGTGGCGGGGGAGGGGGGGCCCCTCAGCCTGGCCTGCACCCTCTCCAATCTGGGATCCCTCTCACAATCCAGAACCACTGGCTTCTAAGTGCTCACCTGCCTGCCTGCCTGATGTCCCTAACTGCTCTCCCCTGCCGGCCTGATCCCCCTAACTGCCTAACTGCTCTCCCCTGCCAGTCTGATCCCCCTCAGTGCTCTTCCCTCCTTGTCTGATCCCCCTAACTGCCTATCTGCTCTCCCCTCCTGGCATGATCCCCCTAACTGCCTACCTGCACTCCCCTCCTCGCCTGAACCCCCTAACTGCCTACCTGCACTCCCCTCCTGGCCTGATCCCCCTAACTGCCCATCTGCCCTCCCTTCCTCTCTGCGCCTTCAGACCCCTGCGCCAGGAGTGCTGAGAGCTCTCCTGCGAGGCCCTGCCCCCGTCCTGACGCCCCCATCCAGGCTGGGCAGCCCAGTGGGCCTGGTGCGCCTCCACCGGGGGCACAGGGAGTGGGGGGCCGGGGGCAGCCTCATGTCCCAGTGGCACAAGTCCCCGCCCCTGTTCCCCGCCCCTGTGTGCTCCAGTGTGCGCACAGCCTGTTGAACGGTCGTGACTGGGACATTGTTAGCAACCTAGGTATCAGTAGGTGAATGGATAAAAAAGAATTGGTATGTGATATACAGATATGCATATGATCTCAGAATACAGACAGTTTTTCCCTAGCAGGGAACTGTAACCATCTTACGTTGACATGCACATATACTCACTGCCTCTTATCCTGATTTCTCTCATTTTCCTGACATCCAGCAGCAGGTTCCTCACAGAGCGGCTGTAGTCCACATGCTGGTTTGTAAAGAGCACTGCGTGGGTAGCCTAGAGCCTTGCTTTCCAGTGTGAGCCTGGCCAGGTCCAGAGCTGTTCCTCACATGTGTGACTCACCTGGATGCCGTGGTCATTCCTGGCCGGCTTCCTTCCCTAAGGTCAGCCGCAGGCCTTCGGGTCCCTCCACACTGGCCAGTTGAAGTGCGTGCTCAGTGTTAGCAAAGGAGCACACAGTTTAGGAAAGCCAGCTCCTTGTGCAGTCGTGTATTCCGCAGATACATTAATGGCTGTGGAAATTCACATACTGCTGTTTCCTTTTCTTAGAATGGCTTGTCATTTTACTCTCTTTTTTCATCCTGTGGTCCCTTCTATTGAGTAGTCCTTCTCTTTCAGCGGTTTTGCGAGTGGCTGGTTCCCTGCAGAAGAGCACAGAAGTGATGAAGGCCATGCAGACTCTGGTGAAGATCCCAGAGATCCAGGCCACCATGCGGGAGCTGTCCAAAGAGATGATGAAGGTGACCTGGGCTAACCCTGCACCCCGCTACGTGTCACGCTCAGCAAGTGGCGGAGGCTTGGGCTGGGTTGGGCAGGAATGGGCGGACCACTGTGGCCCGACACTGAGGTCAGAGGAACAGCGGTTAATATCGGTTGAAACCACCTGAGCTGAGCCTGGCAGAGGTGGGTCAGGTTGCCAGAGTGCCCCTTAGAGGAAGTGAAAGTGTACCCAGACCTCAGGGGAGGTTGGGATCCAGGGAACGGGCAGCTGGGGTTTACAGGCTCCGACAGGAGTACAGAGACAAGAAGAGCCCGGGTTCCTCCGTCTGCTCCAGGGGACTGTTAGAGACGCTGGCATGGGGGGTCGTTCTCCCTCCCTCGCCAGCAAACTTTTGGTAATTTTTTTTCTGTGAAGGGCCAGATGTTAAATGTAATTTCCATTTTCTGGGCCATATATCTTTGTTACAACTACTCAACACTGCTTTGTAGTGTAAAAGCAGCCATACATAATATGTAAACAACTGAGAGTTACTGTGTTCCAGTAAAACTTTATTTACAAAGCAGGGAGTGGACTGATTGGAATCTGAGGGCTGTGGAGGGCTGTGGTTGGCTGGGGCCCGTTAGACTAGAGAAGGGGAGGCTGAAAACCAAATAGGAAGCAGTGAACACCTGCCATCCAGGACGGGCCTCGCAAGGACCTTGTTGCTGGACGGGGCTCAGGAGGGTGTTGTTACTGAGGCCTCTGCCAGCCATTGGTGCATCCCACGTTCTGTCCTCTCAAGCCCACCCAGCGACCCTGTGAGGTAGGCATTTTATCCCCTTTTACACGGGAGGAACCTGAATCTTGAAGTTGCCAAGTAACTTACAGACCTGGGCTTGTCTGACCTTATCACCTGAGCTGCCCCGGAGGAAGTGGTGTAGGAAGTGCCTTGTGCAGTGCTTGCCAAGACGGGTCGGGACACTCAGGCATCTGTCTGCAAGTTGTTCCCCAAGCACCGCCGTTGTAGTGTGGGGTGCTTTGTGAAGCTCTGCTGAGAGCAGTGAGAGGCCCACCTCCAAGCTTAGTGCTAAATTTGGAGAAGAGTTTCCTTTTCGCCCTTTGCCTTTCTGCAGAGAGGGCAGCATCCAGGGTTTCCTGTGGCCAACAGTCTTGTGTGTTAGCCCGCAAAAGGGTGGACTGGCCTGGGAGACACTGAAGTTCACTGGGCACTCACCCTTAAAGGTATCTTTTGAGAACAGATTTAACTGTTGGAAGTGACCTGGTTTATTCTGTGTTTAGGCAGGGATCATAGAAGAGATGTTGGAGGACACTTTTGAAAGCATGGAAGACCAGGAAGAAATGGAAGAAGAAGCAGAAATGGAAATTGACAAAATTCTGTTTGAAATTACAGCAGGTATGACCCTGACGTTCATCCCTTCTCACCTCCTTTTATGGCCATTCTTCCTGCATTCACTAAATTAGCTAATAGCTTTTTCTTTAGGCTATAACTTCCTTACTTCTACATTTTTAATTTTAGATTGTGCAAGTTATTTCTTGAAAAATAGGCACATTATCTGTAAACATCTTTTTTAAGACACAGAAATAAAGAGTTTTTTTTAATTCCTAGAGTTTTCAAAGGTGAAGTATTGGTGTCAAAACTGCATTTGGGAGTTTGAATTGGTATAGAATTTCTAACTAACTGACCTAGAAGATTGACTTCTGGTAGTTTACTCTAGTAATTAAAGAGAGCTGAATGATTTAACTCAAGGATGTCTGTAGTAGTCTTGTTTATAATACTGAAAAGTTCTAAACAAGTTAAATGCCTAAAAACAATATTGGTTAAGTCAAGTATGTTATATATGTTTTAGTGGAATACATTATAGTTGTGATAGGTAATATATTAATTTCTTAGTGACATGTAAATATGTTCACTATGCATTATGTGAAAAAAACCTATGGAAATACACATTTTTATGTAAAAGTCACATCTATAGAAAAATAGTAGTTATCTCTGAGTGATGGTTAATGAGGTTTATTTGGATTTTTTCCCTGTTCTTTTTTAAAGTTATTTTTCACTTACAGTTGACATACAATATTAGTTTCAGGTATACAACATAGTACTAGACAATTATATCCTTTTGAAGTGATTACCCTGATAAGTCTAGTACCCATCTGACACAATATATACATATATACATTTCTTTTAAATTTCACTTATTGATATTGTTAGTGAGAAAGGAAAGGAGAAAGAGAAACATTGATTTGTTGTTCCATCTATTTAGGCATTCATTGATTAATTCTTGTATGTGTCCTGATTAGGGATCAAACCCATAACCTTGGTGTATTGGGATAATTCGCTAACTAACTGAGCTACCCGGCCAGGGCACATATATATTATTAACTATATTCCCTGTGCTGTACTTTATATTCCTGTGACTATTTTTATAACTGGTAGTTTGTACTTTATAATGACTTTCACCCATCTGCCCAACCCTTCTCCCATCTATATCTATGAGTTTGTTTCTGTTTTGTTTGTTCATGTACTTTGTTTTTTACATTCCACACATAGATGGAATCATGTGGTATTAGTCTTTCTCTGTATGACTTATTTCACTTAATATAATACCCTCCAGGTCCATCCATGTTGTTGTGAATAGTATGATTTCATTCTTTTTTATGGCCATTGTATGTATGTACCACATCTTCTTTATCTAGTCATGTATTGATGGACACTTAGGTGGCTTCCATATCTCGCCTATTGTATGTGAAATGACCTCTTTGTCTTTTATGATAGCCTTGGTTTTAAAGTCTTACTTTGTCTGATATAAGTATTGCTACCCCCAGCTTTTTTAAATTTACATGAAATACCTTTTTTTTCCATCTCTTTATTTGCAGTCTGTGTGTGTCTTTCCATCTAAAGTGGGTCTCTATTGGCAGCATACATTGCCTTGTCTTCCAGATCACTGATTTGATCCTCTGCTTCATCTAATCTGCTGTAGATTCTCACTAGTATATTCTTTCTCTGCTTCATCTAATCTGTTGTAGATTCCCTCTAGTATATTCGTTCCAGTTACTGTATTTTTCAGTTCTGACTTTTTATTTATTTATTTATTTTTTATTGACTTTTAAAATATATTTTCAATCTATATCCTTTTTTCTGTTTTCTATCTCTTTGTTGAAGTTCTCAGTGAGTTCATCTATTTTTCTCCCAAATTCATTGAGCATTTTTATAACCAATGTTTTGTGCTCTGTATCTTGTAGATTGCTTGTCTCCATTTCTTTTAATTCTTGTTCTGAAGTTTTATCCTAGTGTTTCCTTGGGGGCATGTCTTTTGTCTCCTCATTTTGGCTGACTCCCTGTGTTCGTTTCTATGTATTATGTAGATCTGCTAGGCCTCCCAGTCTTGACAGATTGAAGTTACATAGAAAGTGTCCTGTGTGGCTCATTGACACAGTCTCCTTAGTCATCTAAGCCAGGTGCTCCGGGGGTGTCCCCTTCATGAGTTGTAGTTGAGCCCCGAATGCTGCCAGCATGTCCGCGGTTTGGTTTGACCCTCAGGCTGACTGGCTCTGAGTGCTGCCACCAGTATAATGGACGAGGTGTGGTGCAGGGCTGACCCCATAGAGCTGGAGTCACTTTGGTGGGCTCTGGGGCCAGCCAAGTCTGACCCTAGGGTGTGTCAGTGGTGGAGCCGTTTGATTCGGACTCTGGTCTGACCTGAAGCTGGCCACTAGGTTTGTTGGGTATGAGGCCTCTTGGGAGTGGCTCTGGTGCAGGCCAAGGTCAGCCACCCCTTGTGCTGGGCTTGGGACCACTTGGTAGGAGCTAAAGTGATCTGCACTTGTGCTGGTTTTAGAGGTGTTTGAGAGGGGGCACACTGTGAACCAAGGCTGGCTGCCACTTGTGCCAGGCTTGTGACCCTGTGCTGAGCACTGCGAGGTGAGCTCAGCCAGCTGCGACGTGTGCCTGCCTGGCTATGGCTGCTTAGTTGGAGCTACTCGATAGGCCACAACTGGCTCCACTTAGGACAGGCTTGGGGCCACCTGATAGGAGTTACAGTGTATGTGGCGACTCTTAGCACTTGTGCTGGTCTTAGGATACAGTGCATGCTGAGGCAGCCATCACATGTGTGAGATGTGTGGACCTTTGAAAAAGTCTGCAGTGCAAGTCTGTGGCGCCCACCACTCATGTGAGGTGTGCAGATTTAGGGGAAAGGCTGTAGCTTGAGCCGAGGTGGGCTGCTTGTGTGAAAGAGCTGCTGGAAGGGGCTCAGGCCAGGCAAGGGATTTGGGCGGGGGGTGGGGCAGGGTGGGGTATCACCAAGGCAGGGTGAGCGGTATTAGTCAATTTAAACGAGAGAACAAATTTGATACCTTCCAGTATCAACCCCTGGGGAGAGCTGCCTTCTCCCCTATCCCCCCAGCTCTTTCCCTGAAATTAGTCAGTTCAGTTCCTTCCCACATGCCCTCCTCCCCATATGCCCCTGACGCTTTTCCAGCCACTGCCCCTGTGCTGGAACTTACAGCCAGTGAGTTTGTGAACGAGTGAGTCCATGTGGGCCCCACACAATCAGCACCTCAGTCTCTAGTGGCCCTTCGTGTTTCCCAGAAGCAACCCCTGCTGATCTTCACAGCCAGATATTATGGGCACTTCCTTCCCAGCACTGGAAAGTCTGGTTTGTGGCTGAGTTCCCTCACTCTCCAGGGGGACCTCTGCAGCCGAGATACCCCTCCCATTTCTTTTCTTTTTTTTTAAATATGTTTTGAGAGAGAGAGAGAGAGGGATAGAAACATCGATGAGAGAGAAACATCAACATCAGTCAGTAGCTGCCTCCTTCATGCTCCACATTGGAGATCAAGCCTGCAACCTGGGCATGTGCCCTGACTGGGAATCAAACCGGTGACTTCTTGGTGCATGGGTTGACGCTCAACCTTTGAGCCACACTGGCTAGGTTCCCTCCGTTTCTTAATTGCCACACTGTGCTTGTGAGATCCGCCCATTTCACATCAGTTCAGCTGGGTGTGAATTCTGTTCAGCTAGCCTTCAGGGGGTTCTCAGTGATGGTTCTATAATTCACTTGTAGTTTTGATGTGATTGTGGGAGGAGGTGAGTACAGCATCTACTCTGCCATCTTGATCAGAAGTTGAGTTTTTAATCTTTATTTTTCTGGATTTTCTGAGTTTTTTGTTTGATAAAATATATATATATATATATATATATATATATATATATATATATATATATATATATATATATATAATTGGTGAGATTTAATTACTGTTTTTTAATTTGTTTTAATTTGTTGGGGGAGAGAGGAGTAGTTACTCCATACTCCAGAAAAACATTTTTTGAAGATTTAGAAACAATTTAGTTAGATTTGAAATCTTCATGAATCTTGAAAATTAAGTATTCAATAGTGTTTAGGAATTTAGATCAAGAGCTTCAGAACCAAAATTGTTTTATTTTATTTTTTCCATCACCATTTATCCCCTCTGTGCCCTCTTCCACCTCTTCCTCCCCTTCCCCCCACAATCACCACACTGGTGTCCATGTCCATGGTATCTCTCTCTCTCTCTCTCCCTCTCTCTCTCTCTCTCTCTCTCTCTTCCTTAGTCCCTCCATCGCCTCTGCCCCTGCCACCAGATCTGTCTGCCTGCTTTTATGAGTCTGTCCCTATTGTGCTTGGTAGTTCAGTTTGTTCATTCAGAACCAAAATTCTTAAAATCAGAATCTTTATAGTTATTATGACTTTGGTGTCATTACAGTTGGTATTTGCACATTTGTCATCATGAGCAAACCCTCACCAGAACAGCTTGTTTCCTTGCCCCTTCTCTGTCAGACTGGCCCTGGCCTGGAAGGCAGGAAGAGGAAGGGCCATGTCTAAGCCAGTGTGTCGTTGATCTGCTCGCTGTTTCTTTCCAGGGGCCTTGGGCAAAGCACCTAGTAAAGTGACGGATGCCCTTCCAGAGCCTGAGCCTCCAGGAGCCACGGCCGCCTCCGAGGAGGAGGAGGAGGAGGAGGAGGTGCTGGAGGCCATGCAGTCGCGGCTGGCCACGCTCCGCAGCTAGGGCCGCCCGGCTGTGCCCGAAGCTCTGCCATGGCCTGCCCGCCAGGTGCGCGCACACTCCGCTGAACGGCCGCTATTTATGTATCTCTTGCACTACACCTCTGTGAGGAAGCTTTGCATTCTGGAGAAGGTTTTTTTCACTCTCTGCAGAGGTTTTGGGGTCTCAAAGGATTGTTCTGGGGACGTGCTGTAATAAATGCATCATTTGCAGGAGTAGAAACGGAAGAATCCTTTCGGAGGGAGGGCAAAGAATTTGGTCTCCTCGCAAAACACTTCTGAGAATAGAGTTCATTGCCCGATGTTGAGGACTCTGTACATTTTTTGTCTGTAAAACACTATGTGAATGGATTTTAATAAATGTCTGCTTTAACACTTGGTCTCCTTTTAGGTTGTCATGTGCAGTGACCTTTCCAGGTGTTTGCTCTTCCAAATTATTTCATAGTGGAAGTAATTTGGAAAGAGAGCATAAGACTTGGAAGCTCAGGAGAAGGGCTTCTCCCCTGCAGATGCTTCTCCCCAGCCTTCGCAGACGTAGCGGGGGAGCCACTGTGCGCTTTTTGCCGTCTGTTTAACTAAAAAGATACTTGGCGATTATGACCCTTTGTCCTGTTTCAATGGCTGTTTTAACGTCCTGAAGGGTATGTAGAGGGAGGGGAGGTGGGCTTCTTCCCTTCCTTCCCATTGCAAGTTGTATCCAGAGCAGAGAGCTGTGAGATTAGGGCTTTTTCAGATTGCCTGATCCTGCCTTGAGCTGGTTGTCTTGGGTGCATGGGATATGGGTCTACCCATAAGTGCTTTCTCTAAGCCAGGGCTGACCAGTGAGAGGCATGGTGTGGCCATGCATTATAATCAACTCTCACACGTCTGAAATATTCCTGCGTTACATTTATAAATAATTCAGGAGCAGTTTATATTTGTGTTTGACAGTTTATAAAGCTCTTCTTTTGACACGTGATCTCACTCAGTCTTCACAAATAAGAAAAAGAGCTCACCTTGCACAGGATGCAACCCAGATCCCTGTGGTCCAAGTCCTGTGTATAGTAAACCAGACAGGAAGAAACCCAACCACTCATCACAGGTTGTATAGAGAAATCCTGAAGTTTCAGCTGTCACTGCAGTGAGGCCGTAGTCTCGTCATGCAAAATGGAAATCTTGAATCCAGGGACCGTCCTGTTACTCTGTATTTTATCGTCAGGATCCACTTTGTCTTTTAAGTAAACATGTTTTAGAGCAGTTTCAGGTTCATATCACAATGACTGGGAAATACAGCATTCCCATATACCTCCTCCCCAACCCATGCACAGACTTCCCACTTTGTGTATTCACATCCCACACCACAGAAGTACATTTGTTACATTAGTAATGGCTTCTTGCCATTACTAATATGCATGTAAGCTTTCTTTATGTCTTTTGATGGCTTGGTAGGTCATTTTTTTTTATTGCTGAATTTCCATGGTTTGGATGTATCACGCTATCCATTCATCTACTGAAGGACAGCTTGATTGCTTTCGAGTTTTGGCAATTACGAATAAAGCTGTAAATGGCCATGTGCAGGTTTTGGTGTGGATACATGTTTCAGCTCATTTGGGTAAATACCAAGAAGCACAGCTTCCGGATCACATGGTAAGAGTATGTTTAGTTTTGTAAGAAACTGCCAAACTGTCTTCCAAAGTGGCTGTACCATTTTGCATTCCTACCAACAATGTACGAGAGCTCCCGTTGCTCTACATTCTTACCAGCTTTGGTGGTGGTGGTGGTGTTTTGGATTTTGACCGTTCTAACAACTGTGTAGTGGAACCTCACTTTTGATTTGCAATTGTCTGATGACATGATGTGGAATATCTTTTCATGTGGGTTTTTTTTTTTTTTTTTTTGCCATCTGCAGCTCTTTTTTGGAGAGGGGTCTGTTTAGATCTTTTACTCATTTTTCTTTCTTTTATTTTTCTCCATAACTCCCCCCCCCCCCCCAATTACCACACTGTTGTCCATGTCCATGAATTCTTTCTCCCTCTCTTTTTTTTCTTTTTTGCTCAAACCCTCTGCCCATTTTTTAATTGGGTTGTTCGTTTCCTTATTATTGAGTTTTAGGAGTTCTTTGTGTACTTGGGGTAATAGTTCTTTATCACATGTGTGTTTTGCCAATATTTTCTCCCAGTCTCTGGCTTCTCATCTGATTCTCTTCACATTGTCTTTCATAGAGCAGAAGTTCTTCATTTTACTTAAGTCCAACTTAGCAGTTACTTGTTTCATGATTGTGCCTTTGGTATTGGATTGTAAAAGTCCTCACCATACCCAGGGTCACCTACATTTTCTCCTATGTTATATTCTAGGAGTTTTATAGTTTTGTATTTTACATTTAGGTCTGTGATTCATTTTGATTTAATTCTTGCAAATAATTTAAGGTCTTTGTCTAGATTTTCATTTTTGCACATGGACGTCCAGTTGTTCCAGTACCATTTGTTGAAAAGACTGTCTGTGCTGCATTTTATTATCCTTGCTCCTTTGTCAAAGACCAGTTCACTGTATTTATGTGGGCCTATTTAAGGGCTCTATTTTGCTTCATTGATGTATTTGCCTATTCTTTTACCAATACCACACTGTGTTTTTACTTTCCACGCTGTTGATTCATGTAACTTTACAGTAAATGTTAAAGTCAAATCAAGTGCTCCAGCTTTGTTTTTCCCCTTCAGTATTGTGTCAGGTATTCTGTCTTTTCCCTCTTCAAACAAACAGTAGAATTGATTTGTCAACATCCACAAATTTACTTGCTGGGATTGGGATTGGGATTGCATTTAAGTCCATAAATCAAATTGAGAAGCACTAACTTGTTGACAGGATATTGTTTTATGATTGCATTTGTCTGGCTAGTTTACTCACAGCATGATATTGGAATTAAATGCTCATAACCCCTGGGCATTTTGGATCTTATGTGGATAGTCAGAATTTATCCAGGCGGGTGGATGGACAGTCAGAATAAAGAATAACCACTGTTCCAGCCATTCAAGTAAAAGGGTCTAAATGTAGGGCTTGTTTTAATTGTTTAAAGGGGTTCTGTGTTCCTCATTCCTGCTTTGAGGCCTGGGAAGTACAATGTTGGCTCAGTGTCATGTTAATATTCCATTTCCCCTCAGTACTCTCTTGGGCATATTGGAAATGAAGGTGAGCCAGATCCTCTCTGGCCCTGGAAGGATCCACAAGCCAGGAAGGGAACGAGTGATGTAAACAACGGCGATAAAAGTTTTCCTCTGTGCTCAGGCCCTCCACGTAGGTCCAGCCCTGGTGGCACCAGCTCCCACTCGTCCCACATTAACTACTGATCGAATCTATTTGGTGCCCTAAAATAATGTCAAGGGCACTCAGAATAGCATTCCACAGCACCAACTCATTTGTTTGTTTTTAAACACAGCTTACTTGGTAAAAATCACTGTCTAGCTTGTGGTAGTCACTCAGCAGTTTATTCTAGGGCAGTGATGGCGAACCTATGACACGCATGTCAGAGGTGACACGCGAACTCGTTTTTTTGGTTGATTTTTCTTTGTTAAATGGCATTTAAGTATATAAAATAAATATCAGAAATATAAGTCTTTGTTTTACTATGGTTGCAAATATCAAAGAATTTCTATATGTGACATGGCACCAGAGTTAAGTTAGGGTTTTTCACAATGCTGACACGCCGAGCTCAAAAGGTTCGCCATCACTGCTCTAGGTAGATGGTAACCTCTCCCGTGTCATCTATCAGCGATGATAGCTGTTAGCACCCACGGCTCACATGGCCTTAGGCCTCTTGTCTTGCGTATTTCCAGGTGTGTCTCGTTACTCCTGGAGAGAAGGGGTTATGACTCATATTTGTTCTCAATTAGTACTCGTCATGCCTGCTTCTTCACCTCTTCCTGACACCCAGCTATGAAAACAACTGTAAAACATCACAAAGCTTTCAAAGCTCTGAAGAACTGGGACTGTTTTTCTTGTCCTACCCTAGTGACAGATGCTCTTCAAATGCTAATACGTGTTACCAGTTAGCAAGGCTCTTAAGTGAAATAAACTTGGGAAATGTTTGGTTAAAGTAAACATAAATTAGGTTTCTTTATACAACTTTTCAGAGCCTTTCATATGCTTTTTCCAAATGTATTTGACCAAAATAGTTTCTTTTGAGATAGCAGAATTAACATTTTCTAGCTACTGAGCCATTTAAAAAATACAGGCCTTTAAACCACAGTAGGGACATATCTATTTTTAAGCTAAGAAAATTCTACACATAATTAATTATATTTTTAACAAATATGTTTATAGAGTGATGTCAGCAAAATTATGGAGTAGACAACTCCAAACACTCAGCCCTACAAAGAAACATTGAGAAAAAAACAAACAGCCAACGAATTTTGTTAGAACTCTGGAAAGCAAAAAATTTACACTACCCAAATGAATACTGTATTAAGGAAAAAAGAAACTTAAAAACAAAGCCGGTGGCATCTTTACTTGTCCTTGCCGCATCTGTTTCCAAGCTTGGCAGCAGTCTGGAAAGCAGCAGCCCACATTATCAGCATGGAGCCCTGGTTCCTAATTCCAGAGGAACGGAGCAGACCTTATTCACAAATTATGTGTGCCTGCCCTAACCTGCCCAGGGTCATTCTGAACAACTAACATAAGGTGCTCACCTTTGGTTTGCCTGTCTTGGAACTTGGGGTGGAAAAGCAGCAGTCATTGCTTTAAAACATGTTAAGGAAATTTTTAAAATGTGCTCCCTCGGGGGAGCATGTCCTTGCCATTCCCTTCCCCCTTCCCCCACAGGCACACATCTCCTAAACTCCCAGGGACCCCAAAAGCTTGCAATTAGGGGAGCAATGGGCAGTGGCAGCTCATCCCAAGCTAACCCCCTACACCTGTCTCCAAGGCCCCCTTTTCTCTGACTTCCCTGTTGCTTCTATGTTAATAAGCTTTAATAAGCATCCCATCTGAGTGTGCTTTTGCTGTGGCCAATAAGTTTTTGCTGAAAAACATACACAAACAAATGAAAATATACTGGGAGGAAAGGCCAGGCAGAGGGTTTCTTTGGGATACTAAAGTGTTCACAAGCATCAGTGTATACTGGGGAATTTAGAAAGCCACATGCATGCCAGGACAGGAAATAGGCTCAGAAAAACCTGAGAAGTCCCTAAACATTCTCCATGGCTAATCTACAGGCTGTGAGGTAGAATCATAACTGGTTAAGTGTTTAAAGATTGCGCCAGCACAAAGTCAGTCCATAAAGACAGGGACAGGTATTGATGGTTTTTTTTTTAAGGTCCTGGCGTGCAAGGAAATCTCAAAACACTGGTTGGCTGAAACACAGCTAGTCCTTTAACAGCAGACCCTGGGAGGGGAGAGAGTCTAAATTATG